GCTCACGTTGCCCAGAGTGCGCGAACGAGGACGTAAGAGTCGGGATTGTATATAGCCATGCAACTGTAACTGCATACCCAGCGCAACGACTATACCAANTATAGCGAGCCGCTTGCTCCAAGCAGACACCCGCTTGCAGCCGCACCTACTGGTGAACAGACGCTGCAGACTTCAGTGAGCCCTTAAACCGAATAAGTCAGAGTGGCCCCACCGAAGCTCCCTCTCTTTCTGCCGTGACCCAAGGCTCCACTCGGATTGGTTACCGCATCTCGCACATGGGTTGCTCACGTTGCCCAGAGTGCGCGAACGAGGACGTAAGAGTCGGGATTGTGTATAGCCATGCAACTGTAACTGCATACCCAGCGCAACGACTATACCAAATTGCACTCCAGTATAGCCAGTGCACTACTACCGTGTATAAATTGGTCGACCTTCTTATAAATCAAGCAATCTTATTGTATCCTCATCGCCGCCAGTCACAAAGAAATTTCCACTTGGGTGAAATGCAACATCATTCTCCGGCGACGAATGCACTATATTAGCTCGCCTTCAGCTATGTCAAATATCTTAACGCGGTTACAACTTAATGCTAAAGCCACCAGAATACCGTCTGGATGCCATGCCAGCTGTCGTCACATACCTCTTCCCACGGTGAACGTTCGCACACATTCGCCTGAAAATGTATCGCAAATTCTTAACTTGTCATCGCCGCACGATGAAATTAACTTATCATTAGGGCTGAATTTTGCTGCGCGCACCCATTTGTGTGTCCAGTGAAAGATGTGTATTTTGAATCAGGGCCCGAATCGCGGCAGTCGTGAACGACACAAATTGTTCGAAATTTTTCGATTTGGCATCACCGCACTCGTTATCGAGTGAGCTCATTCGAAATTCGTTATTCCGCCACTCGTTAACGAGTGTTTTCTCATTCGAAGACAACGAAATTTTATTCGACTGGCATTTTTCAGACGAGTAACAAGTAATTCATACAAATTTTTGATTTTAACAAGAAAAACTAGTTAAATAATAAGAGAAAAAATATGTAAGTTACTGTTTTTAAATATTAATGATAAATATTAATTATACAATGCTTTTAGGACGAATGTGAATAAAATTAATATGCAGCAAAAAAGTCTGATGGCTGAATATATACTGGAGCACCAACACTTGGCCAAAAATGTTATACCGAATTCCGGACAGGGCAAAGCAACTGCAAATAGGTTATGGGAGGCTTTGGCAGTGAAACTTAATGGCGCAGGTCCCCCTGTCAAGGATGCAAAGACATGGCGAAAGGTACGTTCTTGCAAATATATTTTGGTAAAAGTCCGAGGGCGCCAGGTTGAAAATCAAAAACATTGAGTACTCCCTTTCTTAATACATTTTAGGTATTTGCTGTCCAAAAGCACAATGTGAAAAAGAAACTTTCCTTTAATAAGGCGTCGAAGCAAAGAACTGGCGGTGGTCCTTACGAGGAAAAGCCTTTGACGGCGGCAGACGAACAAATTCCACAGGCTTCTACAGGTTGGATGTTTCAGTAGAAGGCCTACATTCTGTCAGATGTTTTGGTAATGTATTGCCCCAAAATGAAAGCGCCCAGGAAGCAATCGAGGAAACAGTAGAAGAATTTTTGGCCAGTGATGAAGAAGAAAGCGGAAGTAAGAAAGAAGACGAATACCCCACTACCTCCAGAAAAAGTGTAAAAGCACAAGGAAAGACTGAAAAGCTTGCACTCCTAAAATTACACCTTAATGCGTCTGAAGAATCTCAAAGCAACATAAGCAGTAAGTTGACAGACGCTTAAAGAAAGATCGGTAGCATTAAAGGAAGGCTCACAAGGCTAACATGGCCGTCAAGGAGTTGGAACTCAAAATCAAACGCCTTGAGTTGGCTGCTTTACAAAATTCATATTCAAAATAGTTCAATATATTTTTACACATCGTTACCTTAATTGATACTTTTAAAACGCAAATATTTTTTTTTAATCTTTACGACTGTGAATTTGAATTATAATTTTAAGTGCATTTCAATCTAAGAATATGATTAATTTTTTGATTTTGAGAGTTGCACTGTAATTAAAGAATGAATTAAAAAATGTTTATAAATTAATTTTATTTTCCTTTCTTTAGAAATAAATAAAGTGGTGAATGAATTCTTGTGTATAGTGTTATAACTAAATAGTATTCGATAACGAGAGCATTATTTGATCTCTTATTTTTTGGTAGATTTTCGTTAAATGAGTTTCGTTTCCAATATCCACTTCTGTTTCAATATTTTCGCATACGTTATATCTGCAATATGACGGATCTTTAAATTGTATGCATACGTTATGCAACGCTGCACACACACTGCCGAACTTCGCTATTTTTTCTGGCCTATAACGACTTCTCTTGCCATTGCTGAGGATTTTCAAGCGACCTTTAAGAATTCCTATTGTTCTTTCAACAATACACCTAGCTTTTGCATGAACCTCATTGAATCGCGCTCGATTTGAATCTTCTTCAGGATTTCTGTAAGGCGTTAAACACCATGGCTCTAAAAGATATCCCGAATCTCCTATTGAATTGGACATATGTATATGTATTTAATTGCATTAAAATATTACTAACATATTTTAATGCATTAAAATTAATTACCTAAAAGCCAAGCGTTCTTCAAATTGTTAAGATTATATTGCTCTTCCAAAAATTGCCTTTGTGCTGAATGCTTCCACACAAAAGAGTCATGAGCGGCTCCACCATATTTTGAATCAATGGCCAATATCCTGTATTCATGGTCACAAATCTGCAAAGAAAATTTTATTAAAATTACTTAGTTTTTGAATATAGTGCAATCTACGTACTATCATAGAATTGATGCTGTGATATCCATTACGGTTGAAAAACATGTGCTCGTTGTGAGTTGGTTTTTGTAGCCCAAAATGTGTTCCGTCAATGCATCCAATAACTGCAAAACAAATAAATACAAATAAATTAGGAGCATTACTTTTTTCTTAGAAAACCATTTTTTACGAGTGAGATTTTGTGTCCTTAACTACATACCTCCGGGAATTTTGTATTTTTGTACAAATGATTCCGCGCACTGAGAAAAGCGTTCAGGGGAAAATTTTATAAAATGGGGGCACAGCTTTGTTTCCAATTCATTGACCACATTCCACACTAGTTCGCAAACTGAGCTTTGGCCTAATCCAATCAAGTAATCGTTGCCAACTGCATTTTGGAAACCTCCACTGGCCAAAAGCGATAAAGTTGCCGCTAATTGTAGCACTGGTGGGACCGATGTTGACAAATGTCCTTTAAATTGCAGACGTGAAAGCACATACTCGAACCCGCTTTTGTTTAGTCTGAACCGTTTTTTGAAACTAGAAATTTGTAACTGATATTAAAATTCATTAAATAAACCGAACACAATTCTTACGCTTCTGCCGACAAAGCCATAGGATTGCTTCTTTCACGCATCTGTCTCCTTGCGGCTGCGCAGTTGCTTTCATCTTCTAACTCCGAAGAAGTTAAATAAAAAAATACTACGGGATCCATCCTTATTGATGCAAATATAATTTTTTAGTAAAGTTTTCTTTAAATATAACGCATCACAGATAAATGTAATTTCGTTTTGATTCTTTTGCTTTGTGTTGACATTTCTTTTTCGTCATCCACAAGTGGAAGGCAAGTTTGGAACTAAATAATTTCGATTCGTTAGGTTTCGACTGCGGCGATCCGGTCATTCTACACGTCACGAAATTTTGCTCGACTCGAATGGTCGCTCGTTCACGACTACCGCGATTCGGGCCCAGTATTTTGATGGCTGTTCGCCATTTTTCTAGCCTGCAAACGAATAAGCTGACGAAGATGCAAACAAATTCAAGCACATTGTTGCATTCTACCGTACTTTTTAAAAGCTTTAAATTTTAAAACATACATATGTGAAAAACGTTTATAATCTGAATATTTCTAATGTGGTAACATATATGCCCAAAAACTTGAAAAATATTAGATGAAGGCTTTTTAAAAATGCTATTTATAAAATTTCGTTTTGATTGCGA